CGAGCACAAGGAGACACCTGGAGGAGGAACGGATATTCGCTACCACGCACAGTCAGAGCACGGGAAGGAGGACATTAATAACCACTGTTTTGCACATTGAACTATTGTCAACCTTTTTTCACTGTAAATAAACACACTGCTTTGCATTCAGAGCTCCATGCCTGGGTCCACTCTATCTCCAACCGTGACACTAACAGACCAGAAGAATTAAGTAAAATAGGTACTGAACCTCAATTCAGAAGGAAGGTCAGTTCATGGATACAAAATATCAACTAAGATGTTAAAAACAGCAGTAAAATTAATAAGATTAGATGGAATAAGGGTATAACACTAGGAGTCCCAGGCTTCTACCTTTCTACCTTTAAAACCCGGAGAGCAGCCAAATGGCTGGTAGGCTTTTAGCTAAGCTTTAGCTTCAGCCAAGTGGAAGCTAAATTGGCTAGTCATTCATATGTAAATTAGGTTGTTACCTGGGAATTCTGGAGGGTGGGGAGTGGGGGTGTGTGATTGAGGGGGTGGGGAGCTGCTAAAAGCTGTGAACTTCCTTTTGTGTTTCATCTTGATGCATTCTCAATCATCCAGGGAAATAAATCTCCAAAAGTCACCAATTTGGAGTGTTTCAGTTTGCCATCTTAGGGAGAAATCAACACACATGGGTGTATGTCCTTTGTTGCTGAGATTTATTGATTATTGATTATTGATTTATTGATAAAAACAGTACAAAAAACCAACCAACCAGCCACCCTGTGCCCAACCAGCAGAGCACTGTAAAGTTATTAGTACCAGTACCGGAGCTTTATTCATCCAAGAACTAAGCTTAAAGTTTAAGATGCACATTAACTTTCCTTTTCACTGAGAGCAGGTTCCAGTGTTTCAGGCGGCCACGTTTCTGCTCCACACAACAAAGGCTGCCCAACAGAAACGTTCTTCCTAATATCAGGAACATATTGATTCTTCTTCAGCCTTTTCTCATGTAACTGAACCACCACGCTGTGTTCAGAGACAACCGCATGTAATGTTTATGTTAGTACATTACTCCCTCACTCACAAGTTTGCTGCTTTTGTTAAATGGACACACACGCGCGCGCGCGCGCACACGTGCACACACACACACACACACACTACCTGTGTCATGAGCTGAACACCACAGTCTGGAGTTGAGGGCAGCAGTCTTGTTACTGACAGGGTTTAACAGGTTGGCAGGTGTAGATGGATTCATTCTTTCTCTGGATCTCCAGAGTGAGGGTTAGGTTGTTGGAGACATCTGGGTCACTAGTATTCATTATAATCTCACTTCCTCTGTACCATGATAGGGTGACATTGTCTGAATTCTTTACCCAACATCTTACAGAGCAGATCCCACTGACAGCTGACTGTGTTTCAGTGCTGGTTTTTGGTGTATTTTCAGCCTTTTCTGTAATGGTGCTGCACTCGCTTTGTTTTTTTAATTCACATTGCACTTTATGTGGTCCTGTGTTGGTTGTCTGTTATATGTCATATGTAGCACCATGGTCTTGGAGGAACGTTGTCTCATTTCACTGTGTACTCTATCACTGCACATGGTTCGAATGACATTAAAGCCTCTTGATTTGACTTGTTCGACCATAAAGGCCTTATTCACATAGTGTGCTCTGAACAGCTGATGTAGAAATGTGTCTGCTACTGGAACTCTGTGTGGCATTTATCTGGGCTCTAATCTGATCTAATCTAAACTGTTAACTAGGGATGGGTACCGGTATCCGGTGCCATGATGGTACCGGTTCTGACAAAAACGGTAGTAACCAGACCGAAAAGCAGCGCACATTTCGGTGCTTTTTTCCCCCTGAGATGTCATACAATTTGGATTCTAGCCAATTTGACCATTTACTACTACGCTTGCAATTTTACCTTTCCGAGGATAGTAGGCGGGCCCAG